CCCTTCTTTCCCCTTCTCCTCCGCGCCCGGGCGCCAGGGAAGCAGCCGGCCGCTCTGCGCCTCGCGGGTGCGATGGGCCGCAGCAACAACCAACTCCGGCGCTCCGCGAAGTCGCAGGGGCGCGTCTTCGCGCCGAAGAAGCGGAAAAGCAAATTGTACAACCAGGCGCGGGCAATGAGGCTCCGCGCGGAGCGGTCGCAGCCGCGGAAGCTCGCCTACAGGAACGTCATCTCGAAGAAGGGCGGCGTTGTGCGGCGCAGGTTCCGCTCCGGCGGCTACAACAGCAGCGGGAGGTTCGGGAAGGCGAAGGGGGCGAAGGGGAATGCCAGGCGGCCGAAGTGAGGGGCGCACACGGCCCGCATCCGGGCGCATTGCAGGTAAACCAGGAGTCCGCGATTAATTCCTCCACCCTCTGCAACCCGGGCAGGCGGCTCGTGCACGCCTCGCGCGAAATAAGTGCCGTGGGCGCTGGACGCGTGACTACTGTTGCTGCCTCTGCCTATTTCCCTGCGACGCTGCCTCCCGCTTTGTTTTTGTTTTCTCTTTCTCTTTCTCTCTCTCTCCATCTTCCTCGCCGCCTGTGTGCGGTTCTGCCCGGCAAAACTGCTCACTGGGCAGAAGTGTAAGCGAATCAGCACAACAGCGACGACCCACGCTCATACGGAAGTCAAGGCAGCGGGAATAGCAGACTGTACGAAGTTGAGGGAGCGCAACGGCAACAGTAGGCAGGCGTGCGTGAAGAAAGACAAATAAAAAGAAAAGTAAGACAAACACTCACACGCACAGAGAGGAAATACACGAGCAAAACCAACAGGTAAATACCATCCCACGAGCGCGCGAGGGAGGCAAAGAGGGAGGGCGAAGGGAAGCTAAAAAATTGGGGGAAAACACAACATTCAGCAGGGGACGAGATGGCGACGGCAAAGGCGGAGCCGATGGTTGAGTTGGACGACTTCGTCTGCTTCGAGCGTGTCGGCGCCGACTGGGAGTGGAAGAATACCCTCGGGAAGGTGATCGGCTTCCCCACGCCGACCCGCGTGTGGGTGGAGCTCTTTGACCGCAGCGAACACGTCCCCCAGTCCACAACCCTCATGGACGAAAAGCTGCAGGAGATGGCGACGAACACTGGCGCGCTGGCCCTCTGGGAGGAGAAACTGGAGTTGGACCACCAGCTCCAGCAGGCGGCGGAGGAGGAGGACAAGGCCGCCGAGAAGCTCTTTGCGATGCGGGAGGCCTCGCAGCAGCGGCAGGCAAAGGCGTCGGCCCACACACGCGAAACGATGGTGGCACTCGATGCGACGCGCGACGCAATTGCTCGTGTCCCGCAGCGGCAGTGGCGCGAAATGCGGGCCCCTGGTCGCCCGACGGAGTCTCTTGTGTCCCTCGGCCGTGCCATCATGCTGGCGCTGCGGGAGGACCGCGCCAAGAGCTGGGAGGAGATGCAGGACGTCATGCGGCAGCCGGACTTCATGGATCGTGTCATGAGCCTTGATTGCAGCGTCGCCCCGCTGCCAAAGACAAGCCGGAAGAAGATTATGAAGGAAATCGGCGCCCGTCGAGCCGAAGCGCGGCGCGGCAGCCTTGCCGGCGGCTCTGTGCCCCGCGAGAGGTTGCAGCAAGCGCAGCGCCAGGCGGAAAGCAAGGGCGGGACGCAACTTGAGGCGGCCATGCTGGACTGGTTGCTGGGGCAGGTCGCCTGCTCGGACGCACGCGAGGCGGAGGAGCACATCGTGGATGAGTTCTTTGCGGAAAACCAGGAGCAAACAAAACTATTGCAAGGGGTGAATATCATGCGCGAGAACATCTCCGCCATACAAGAAAAGCTGCTGGAGAAAAAGCTTGCCATCTGCGACGGCACACCGCTGGCCACCTTACTGATAAAGGACGCCGCGGCCTCCAAAGACTCGGTCTTCTACAGGCGCATGACGAACGGCCGTGCGGTGACGGAGATGATTTTGCGCAGCAGCGTCTTGGTCGTCTTTGGGGCCAAGGCGGAGGAGCAGGAGGAGAACGACGACGGCGCTTTGTTTGTGCGCCTGGCGCCGGAGGAGGTTGCGCAGCTGCGGGAGGCCGCGCGCGCCGCAAACGAGGTGCACGACCTGGAGGAGCTGGAGGCGCTCTACCAGCTGGGCGAGCGGGAGAAGGAGGACATACGCGAGTTGAGGGCCCGCATGGAGGAGCTGCGCTGCAAGGACGACTTCACCGAGGAGGACGAGGAGGAGATGCGGCAGCTCGACGCCGTCCTGACGCAGGCGGTACGCCGCCATGAGATGACGCAGTGGCGCATCCGCCAGCTTGAGACGCAGGGGCGCAACAAACTCTTCCTGGAGAGCCGTCGGGTTGAAGACGTGGTGCACTCGGAGCTGCGCCTTGTCTTCTCCGGGGACGCGTGGGGCGGCCTCCTCGAAAGCGCGGGGCACCGTGCGAGGATGGAGGCGGCGCTCTGCAAGGACCTCTCCCGCGCTTTGGGGCTGCCAGTGGAGAACATGAGCGGCGTCTCCTTCGCCCCTGCGCCGCTGCTGGTGAACCTTACCGTGCGGCACGGCCGCGACGTGACGGCGGAGCAGTTGCAGGCCCTCGCAGAGGAGGCGGAGTTCGAGGAGCTCCGCAGGTACTACGAAAGTGTGACGGCCGATACGTGCTACCCGCTCAACACCTTGTCGCAGCGGTTGGCATACGAAGAGGCGGTGCGTAGGGCGCACCTCGCTGCAAACTTTGCGGGCGCCGGTCTGCCGGAGAAGCTCGAGGACTTTGCCGACGACAGTGAGGAGGGCGCAACTGACGATGAGAACTACCGACGCCCGACGGTGGAGATCGCAACAGTACGCAACGACTACGGCCTCGAGGCGCGCTACGGATACCCGATTCTCCGACATGTGGGCGTCCCCGCCGGGTTTGAGGCCCTGCTGGAGGCGGGTAGGTTGCAAGCGAAGGAGAGGACTGAGGCGCAAGAGGCGGCAGAGCCGATGGAGGGAGCAGGCGGAGATGCAGAACATGCGCTGGACGTTGCCGAGCAAGTCGCCAAGGATCAAGTGGCCGAAGTGAAGGAGCTGGACGTTGCCGAGCACGCCGCCAAGGAGCAAGTGGCCGAAGTGAAGGAGCTGGACGTTGCCGAGCACGCCGCCAAGGAGCAAGTGGCCGAAGTGAAGGAGCTGGACGTTGCCG